TGCTAGTGGTAAAACCAGGCAGTTCAGTGCAAATTGAGAGGATTTGGTCACACTAATAGAGAAAGCCTCCTAATTCAGAGAGGTTATATTCCACGGGGATGGAGGGGTAGAAGTAGGAAGGGGACACAACTACATAACAGTTTCACAGGTCACGAGTTCTGTGGGGCGCGGAGGGGGAACAGAGAGGGATTTGCACTTCAGTCAGGGAGGCCAATCTGCCTCTCTGGGGAGGTACCATCTGGGCTGAACTGAATTATGGCGGATCAAACTAATGAGCCTGCAAAGAGATGCCCACATATAATACAAAGACCTGGAGACAGGAACAAGCTGGGGACATTCAAGAAACAGAAAGAAACGTGTCTGAAGTGAAATGAGCAGGAATGAGCATGGTTAGAGTTGGCAAACATGATGGGTTTACCCTCAGAACAGGGGATGCTGGAGGGATTTTAGCAGAGCAGTACCATGTTCTGCTTGTTTGTTTGCCAGCTTCTGGGGTGAAGATGGACCAGAGGGGAAAGACTGAGCATAGGAAGGCCAGTCAGGAGGTTGTTATGGGGGCAGGTGGTGATGATACTGGGGACTGCACTGGGGTGGGGGGGACCTAGACTGAAAGGACAGAGCAGATCCAGCTGCACTTGCTGGCCAGTGGCATGCAGGGATGAAGGAAAGGGAGGACTCAGGAATGAAGCCTAGGTTTGGACTGGAGCCATGGTAAGCAAGGGCATGCCCCAGTGCTGACAGGTCCCTTGGCGTGGAGGTCATAAACTCAACCGGAGGAGAGCTCAGTGGTGGTATCTCTGCCAGAGCATTATGAGAAGTGACATGTCTGGAATGTGCTGGAATGTTCCTGAATGTGCCTGTGTTGAGGGAGGAAGAAATAAATGTTTTAGGAATTAGAGTCTACCGTTGGTAGTTAAGAGTATCTCATAATAGACAGGGGCCCAGTTCAAACATGACTTCAGAGGAATTAATAGTTCAGACTGTTTTCCCTTTCCCATCTTGTCTAACTTGGGTATCAGTCTACCCACTTTTTCCAAGACATAACAATTTCAGCAACAATAATAACTTATGGAGTAAGTGGGTTGAGGGCTTTAACTGCAGTATCTCAGTATATCTCAACTGTTATGGCAAACTTATCATTCTTTCCATTATATAGACAGAGCCACAGAGGCCAGTGCTGCCTAAAATGGCAGCCACGGGTCATGTGTGGCTATTCAAATAACAACAAATTAGAATATTAATAATTAGAATATTAAAATTAGAATTTTTTTTAAACTGGCAACAACAAATGCTGGTGAGGATATGTAAAATAAAGAACACTCTCACATTGCTGGTGGGGATGAAAACTGGTGTAGACACTATGGGAAACTGTGTGGAGGACACTCAAATGATTAAAAATGAATCTAACATCTGACCCAGCAATTCCACTTGCAGGAATCTACTCAAAGGACACAAAAACCTTAACTCAGAAGGAAACCTGCACACCTACATTTATTGCAGCACTATTTACAATAGCTAAGATATGGAAACAACGCAAATGCCCAAAACAGATGACTGGATCAAGAAGATGTGGTAGCTGTACACTATGGGATATTACTCAGCAGTCAGAAAAGATAAACTCAAGCCATTTGCAGCAATATAGATAGAAATAGAAGGGATTGTACTCTGAAATAAGTGAGAAGAAAAAAGAAAAAGATCGAATGGCTTACTTATAGGAGGAAACCGAATGAAAGATCAGAAAAAAAAGAAAACACTTGCAGGCAAACTCTAGATATGGAGCATACCTTAGGGTCACGGGAGGGAGAAGGGCCAAAGCAGGGTAGGGAAGAACACAAAGGACTATGACGACTGTTCACAGGTGATGTGATGGTGGGAGATTTATGGGGGAAAATCAGTACTGTACAAAAATCAAAAAGTATGTAAGAAAATGGGCCCTCCTTGGTGGTGCATCGAATTAAAGCACAATACTATGAAGCTAGCTACAGCTGCTTCTACACAAGTTTGATACCAACCACGGAGGTGACCTACATGGAGCAGACCTCTCCTGTCTCGCCCACTGCTCCCCTCAGCAGTGTACTTTGTTGATTTGCCTGCTCTGCTCCCCATTCTTTCCGGTAAATCTTCTCACCACCCCTGCATGTCTGGCCTGTACTTCAGTTGTATATGCATAAATAAATAAATCTTTTTTTTAAAAAAAGTATTTACGAGATATAAAATTTTAAAAAATAAAATTTCAGGTGCTCAGCCATACAGTTGTCCAATCACCCACTCATTTGATATTCACATATCAAATACTCAAGAGCCAGGGTGAATAGCGAATACCATGTTGGGTAGTGCAGACAGAGGAAGTCTTCTTGGCAGAAAGTTCTTCAGAGTTAGAGTCACACAGTAAGTGGTAGGGTGGGGCCTCAGGTTCCATCTGAGTGTGAGACCCTGCACTATCTTCATACTGCACCCAGGAAGAAGAAAGTTTCAGCAGACTCTTATCCTTTCGGTATACAACCTGGGCCATAAGTCTGTTCTAAAAGCATTTCTCATCATTCCCTTGCATAGTCTCACTGCTCACCACAACTATGCTCACTGCTCTGGAACACTCCTAATGTTCCCATCATAATATTCACGCACACCCCTTGCCATCTGCCTGGCTGATCAATGTCTACCTGACCTTTCAGCTGCAAATATCTCTTGCAGGGGTTTACTCTTAACCACCATCTGCCTGAATCACCTCTCAGAGCCCCTCCCCATTTCCTGCCTTGGCAGTCATTCTACTGCTACTAAGCAGCTACTATGTGCTAGGCAGTCTTCCAATCATCCACTTACCACAACACTGCAGTAATGTCTCTTCTGTCCCTGTGCCCATTTTACAGATGGGGTAACTGAAGCACAGGGAGCTGAAGGCCTGTATGAACAAACTCTCTGCTTCTAGTCTTTTCACAGGCAGTTCACACTCCCACTATCAATGACTATTCCATTTCTAAAACACAGAACTGTTACTTCCCTCCCCTGGTTCTTCAAAGGGGGCACAGCATGCAAGGCCCTTTATGTTCAGATTATTTCCAGCCTCAAAACCCATCACTCCACCCACAGGCCAAAAACAACTTCATTTCCTGAAAGTTCTTCCCCCTGGATTCTCACACCCATTGTTGCCTCTGCCGGTGTTACAGGAGCTGGCCAGCTCTGAAGGGATCCTAGGCAGTGCCCCAGTGCCTGCTGGGCCAGGGTACTGGCTTTTCTCTCTGTAAGTCCTACACTCTCTCCAGCTGGTGGCTCCCAAAGGCAAGCTAGGGGCTGAGCTCACCACATGAATCACTTCTTATTAAAATAATATATTCCCCACATTCAATCAAGGTTAGACCTAGGAGTCTTTTTTCTAAGAAGAGTCCCAAGTTATACTGCAGTGAGGTAAATGTGGTTTACCTCACTTGTTTGGCAACCAAGCCCTGGTTAGAATTCTTGTGTATTCTCCTTTGTTGTTATTTAGTGCTTACCTTGATTCGCTCACATTCCTCTATTCGAAAAGTGCTTATTCAGAAACTGTTGTGTGCCAGGTACCTCTCTACATGTTGGTATGAACAGAAGTATTACAGTTCTTGCTGAGAGGGTTTACATTCCAGAGGGGATGGTAGGTGGAATAACAGCTCCCCAAGATATTCAAGTCCTAAATCCCCACAATTTGTGAATGTTACTTTACATAATGAAATGTATTTTGCTAACATGATTAAGTTAAGATCTCAAAATGTGAAAATTATTTTGGATTATCCAGACTCTTGATCATAGTATACTCATAAGGGAAAAGAGGGAGACAGCAGAGTCCACAAAAGAGGAGACCTGACAACAGGCTAAAAGTCAGACCCTTATGACTGCTCAGGGGACCAGCAATCAAGGCTCTGGAAAAGGCAAGGAAACAGATTTCCCCAGTAGCCTCCAGAAGGAAAGCAGCCTTGACATTCCCCACCCCAAACCCTCTTTTTTTTTAAAAAACACATTTTTGGGCTCCCGAACTATAGAACTGCAAGGCCATAGGTGTGTGTTTAAACCAGTACATTTGTGGTCACCTGTTACAGCCGCGAAAGGAAATAATACAAGCTACTTACCTTGTGCAGGCCTCCCCAAGGAGACCAAGTGTCTGAGAGTTCTGTTATGCTTTGATCTCCTCCCCCAACACACACACACTGACCCCTCCTCACATGAAGCTAGCCCCAAGTGGCAGCTGAATATACTCCTGCTCTAGATTCCCGTCTCCTTCTCTACAGTTGTCTTACTCTGTAGTGGGGGGGTGGAGGGGTGCGGGGAGTTGGAATATTTGGTGAAGGATGAGCCTTCGAGATGCAAGGAAACGGGGCTGTCCAAAAGGGTTAGGGGTTTGAGCTGAGAAGGGAACAGTGGGTGCCTGCGTGGACATGCCAGTGTGTGGAAGGATTTGGAAGGATTTTCTGAGATGAGTGCAATGAATCCTTCGCGTAGACCTTATTGACTTGGGCCGCGGGTAGCCTGAATCATACTCGTTGTGTACTTTCATTTTTCTTAGTTTTTACATCTTAATTTTTATGACAAATTTTAATTTTTAAAACAGAACATGCCTCATATTCAGAATTACACATTTTCAAGCAGTTACCGCAGCCAACTGCTTGCGTGCCCACTTCGTGAAGGGCCAGTTCCCGAGGCTGGGGCCCCCCTTGTCAACACACGTCCCCAGGCGTCTGGGGGCGCGGGGACCTCGCTTCGGCCTCGGAGCCGTGCAGGAGCGGCGGCCTCCGGCCGGGGAGGGCGCTGTGCCGGCGGCGGGGAGGGGCGGCAGCCCGGGGTGC